CTGCATACAGCACACTGGAGCGCTCACATACCCAGTTCAGATGTTGTTCTCTCCAACGTTACAGTAGAACCCTGCACTGACAGTCTGATCCTGAAAGATTAATTCATGGCGCACAACCACATGAATGTTGAAGAACCAGCATGGTCCTGGTGCTCCTGACGTGAAGTGTCTCATTCAGTTTTGGGAAACTGCTTCCACTGTGAGAACTGTTGTTTCTTCTCCTGATGGTAGCTGCAGACCCTCTTCTGGCCACCAGTAATGATCCTCTACATGAATGCTGGTTCATCCAGCTGCTGACTGTCCCAGAATATGACGTTTGGTTCAGTTTAAATTCCATGGAGAAAACCCAGATGCTCACATACCAGCAGTAACAAAAACACAAGTGTGGATGTTGATAGTGTGATGCTAAGTGACCTGACTCACGGTAGTTACTGCTTGCGCATGTATTAATGTTGAAATTGTGTGTTTCCACCAGGGGGGGCGCTACTCTCTGAAGGCCCAGAACCTGCTGGGGCCAGATGGCATCGTTTGGTTCTCTTGGAAGGATTCAGACTTCTACTCTCTGAAGGCGGTGACCATGATGATACGACCACGCAACTTCAGACCACGCCTGTCGCCATAGTGATGGAGCCTTGTCAAAGACTCTAAAGGCTGCCAGAAGTACTTACTACAGCAACGAGTTTGTATTGCTCCGCTGCTGCAAATAGTCCCCCACAAATGCATCGTTTCCTCCTGTATGAGTAACTCTTCTGAAAAACTGCAGTGACCAGCTGTTCTAAGAAATTACAAAGCATTTTTAAAATATCAATTATATAATTTTGACCCATTTATAGATATTTGTGTTCTTAGCAGGCAGTGGATGTGAGTAACTAAGCAGATTTAATCAAGTACTGGACTTAAGTACAATTTTAAGGTGCATGTACATGAGTATTTCCATTTAATGCTGCTGTCTATTGTACTTTACCTAACAGTTTTAGTTACTCTAAAGTTGCAGGTATCAACTTAGGACTCTTCCTTAAATACTTCAACTGTATTTTGCTGCTATGTACTTTTACTGAAGAAGGATTTTTCATATGCTGGACTTTTACTTGTAATGTGTATTTCTACATTGTGTTATTAGTCGTTTTATAGAAGTACAGGACTTTGACAGACAGGGAAGGATAGCCAGAAAGCACTGAAAGAACCACACATGGTTGGGTTGAGGAAATTTAAGAGCAAATACGCATTTAAAGCGGTCAAAAAGTCCAATACCTGAATAATACCTCATGTCACAGACAATATCCAGCAACCTACTATGCCCTTAAGTTGTTATTTTTACACCTTGGAATAATAAATAAATGATATGTCTTAATGAGTGAGCTTTAATGAGGTTTTCCCCCAATTTCATTTGTTAATGCAGCTTCTGGTTACAGCTTTGGTTTAATGGACAGACACAACATTAGAGGGAATTCAGTAAGTATTCTTTTACTACCACCAATGCAGGTAGTCCACCAATGAAAGGTGAGGATTTCAACGAGAGCGGATCAATTTGTACTATTTTTTTTCTGCAGGTGTTGGTTTAACTAAACACTACATGGTGCTCTAAGTATAAACACTGTTACTGCCTCAAACTAACAGGACGTACTGTACATCCTGCACAGTTGAGGTAAAACTCAGTCAGTTGTTTAACTTTTGTTGTTGTGCCTTATCAGTATATTCATAGTTTTGTAGATAAAATCAGATGTCTTTAGCAGTAATACGGGTTTCACGTATTTAACTACAAACACACAGTTTTTATCACACATGTATTTATTAGAACACTTACAGGAAGTAAGTGGTACATATACATGACTTCTCAAAGTCACTCAACTAAATCTGAAGAGTCAATGTGAATCCAGGCTGCACAGACAGGGGGTAATAAGAGGACAGAGGTCATACTGCTGCTGTGGTCGAGACAGTTTACCCTCAGGCTCTGGGAATCACCAAACCCCAGGAAAGGACAGGTGTTTATACGGGGCGCTCCCTGGCGCGGGTGACGAACTTCCACCACAGAGGGGGGAGGTCGCCCTCCTTGCGGGCAGGAGGAAGGTCTTCGGTCTTGGGGCCATCAGGTGGAGTCTCAGCCTCCAGCTGGGCGACCTGGAAGCACAAAGAAGGGGACAAAGATTGACTTCAATCCCAAAACAGTATAATTGCAGAAAAGTTAGGGAGTGTCTGTGCCTCTTCATGTCATTCTTCAAGACTTTCAACTTATTTACCATTAGTTTTAACCCTCTGAACCCCAAAACCAGCATTTGAAAGGCCGGCTATCTACATAAAATCACCAAAATGGCACCATTTATCAGCAAGAGAGTAAAAACAGAAAGAGGCGTTGGATTTTCAATTTTTCGACACGCTATTCTATATGAAATTTTAACCATATATAAGCGGCATCTGAGCGTTCTATGTACTTAACTACTGCACAACAAGTAATACATTTGTATGTACATACAAACCGTTAAGAGTGTTTTAAGTGCCGACCGGGATCCAGAGATCTAAAGTGTTTAAAGTAAGATATGGCTTTTGACATGGGGTGCATATTTGTCTGGCATAACCAGACAGGTTCACAGTTCAACAACTAAACTCTGGCGCCACCTGATGGATTTAACTGGTACCAACTGTTCCATTGTAAAAGAAAGATCATAGAAAAGGACGCATGTTGTGGTGGTATGTGAAACATTGTTGCAGTATGCAGTGCTGCCCACCTCTTTATCCCAGCTCTCCATTCTCAGTTTCTTCCACTGCTCCCTCTTGGAGAAGTAGTCAGGGTACATGGCCTTTTCTGAGGGGTGCCAGGTATCCAGCACCCATTCGTCGGCCTACAGGAACAAAGCAGAGCTCAGAACATAAACTTTTTGACAACAGTCCTTCAGCTACTATTTGTGATATGTCCTCAGAGTCAAATAGTAAATAAACTGTAGTATGTGGAGCCACCATTTTTCTCTTCTCAGTACTGGTAACATCAGTGGCCACTATGAAAAATGTTGTACATGTTGACTCGAGTTTTTTTCAATTTGTGGAAATTAGGTAATCAAAGAAATTCCATTTTTGCTTTTTCTGTATTCATTTATGTCATAACTGTGTCAAATTACAGAAAAGACATTTTTTAGTCCCCTCTACTTCTAGTCATGCTATTTCCATTGAGGTGCAGGAATTTATATTGCAGTAAAATATGAGTTCACAGTGAGGAAAAACGTGACATGATGACCAAAATATCCCTGGGATGTATGTGTGACAGAAAATTTAAAAAAAGAAAAATAATTCTATTTAAGCGTATTTAGGCAGAGTGAAGCTACTTTATTGTAGCATTGCAAAGCCACATTCAAAATCTTTTCTTTTTTTTTTGCTACAGAGAAAATCTTTTTTTAAATTTTTTTTTTTAAAATGTTGTTTTGAATTGTGCAAAGCTTTTTTCGTAATAATAATAATAAAAAAACTAACCACAAGAAAATTACATCTACGGATACATGATTTTATGGCCTCACCTTGTAGCAATCATATCTCTCATAGGAAGTCCCTCCAGGAGAGTCAGGGAAGATGTAGGGCTGGGAATGCTGGTCATCCCAGAACTCTTCTTCACCCAGCTTCAGCAACATGGTGGCCTTCACCATGTCCTTCTCATTCTTGTGTTCCTCAAAGCGAGCCCGCATTAAGCAGGCATAGAAGCGGTATCTTTCTCTATAAATGGAAAACACCACAACAGTTGCAATTTTTAAATCAGATGGACAATACATCTCCTGTAACTGCAAATACAGTACAACCATGAAAATCTCACACAGACAACAACATCACATGTAGTTAGAGCCACAACAAATGATTATGCTCATCGTTGAATAATCTGGGAATCTTTTTTCTGACTAATAGGTTAGTCGTTTGTTCTATAAAATAAAAGAGAATGTTGAAACATGTCAATTTTTAGTTTACTGTCATAGAGGAACAATATTCACATTTGCAAACCTGGAATCGGAGAACTTAGTCTTTTTTTTTTTTTTTTAAATAAACAGATGGTAATTAATTTAATAGCTCTACATGTAGTTTCTATCAGTTAATAGTTCAGTGTATAAATGATCAGAAATCGGTAGTAGTAAGCAAGCTCATACTCTTAACAACTTTGCTGTGCATTGTTATGTTTTCAAAACAGATTTTCACCATTTGGGATATTGAATTTAAAGGGGGGGTTCAGCAGTGAGGATATGACCGCTACCGCTACCTTGTCATTTTTTTGATGTTGAAAAATGTGTGTAGCTACGTTTTATGTTTATGTTCCTGTGAGAGAGTCAAGTTTAATATGTAGCTTATTCGCTGATTTAGACGTTAGCTGGAGCCATGTCAATATTTGCAATATGGCTAACTTCTGGCCAAAATGACACTTAAATTAAATTATCATAATTTAACAAAACAAAGGTTATATTCCTGCTTGAATGGCTGGTACATGAACAAAACACTGATAACAACCTTGCAATGGGACTGTGTGGAATGAGTGACCTGGCTAGCAGCGGCTAGCAGTTAGCTTAGCTCTTAGCACAGCAGCACAGCGAACAAACTGCACTTCAATAGCGACAACCAATACATTTCAACTATTCCGCCCCGCGCTTAAACAAACAAAAGTATTCTTACCTAAAAATGCACCAGGACTCGAGGTGTCTCAGTGATCTCTTGTACAACCGCAGCACTTTCTGCTGGTGAGTGAGATAGGCTGCCATTTTCGCCGTCTCCTGTCACCTTCCCGTCCAGCGGCGCGGAGGATTCTGGGACTTTTGTGGCGTTGGGACGTCATGTACCGTAAATGCTAACACAACGCGCAAATATATTTTATAACTTTCCAGTCAAAACATGTTTGCAATTATTAAAAGTGTTGAAATAATTAGCTACAATCAAATTCGCTTTGATTTGTCTATAATATTTGGTAAAATGAAAGGCGTAGCCACAACAAAGCTATTTCAGTAACGTGGTTCCCATCTGCTATAATCATTACGGTATTGTAACATTATGGTATTGGCGAGAGCCGCATGTGTGGTTCTTTTTAGAAACATTAACACCATGGCACAGCACAGATTCATTGGTAAGATACCTGGATTTTATAGCTACATAAAGATAGCAAGAAAGTAGAGGACATGAACTGTTACTGTTGGCTGTTGTGTCTTGTAAACAGATCAGTCTGCATGTTTCGTTAGCGTGGGAGCTAATGAGTTAGCCCAGTTGAAAATGACAACACAGCATTCCCAGAGGTTTGCAGCTGTGCAGGGAAGCATTACAGCAGGTCACCACTCCTAAACACAAATTGTACTACACTACAGCTATAGAGGGATCACAAAACGTTTCTCTGACACCAGTGCAACATCAGAGACAAGTCATTTTTCCTTCTTAACTTGCTTCAAAGACATATAAATCATATTCTCAAGCCTCTCAATATGCTGTCATAGGGAGTCTTTGGACTTCTTGAGGTTTTCCATGTATACCTTTAATATTTAAAATTGTCAGCTAATGTCCATGATTCATAATATTGCAGGGGTCTAACCTTACAATTTATTTTAATCAGGTAAATTTATACTTCATGCATTTTAATTTATTTAACCTTAATGTAACCAAGTAAATTCACATTATAAATCACATTGTTAAGTCTTAACCTTCATCTTTCAACTTGTGAGGTACATTTGTGATACCAGTCTTATCACTCTACTGGAAAACACTTAAGTTCCGTGCTTATAGTTTCAAAGAGCTATATAAGTAATAGTGACTTGATTTGACATGATCGATTTATGTGTGCACAGTTTCCCTTCTGAGGATTTAATTCTATAAGTCATGCTCTTCCAGTTTGATTCATCTTGAAAGTTGTGAAAGACTGTTTAAATTTTAGTTGAAAGTAATAGAAAATGGTGCTGGATGAAATTATAATAACATATATCTTGTAATAATAGGTATATTTGCTGAACTTTCCAAAGAAAGAATTGAACTGAGAGTGTTTCTGAAGATGTAGAACATGAACTGTAGAAGGGTCTCCTTTTCACCTTATGGATTTCGTTTCAAACAAGGCTTAATAACTACGGCTTGAAAATTTACAAAAAGCACATTCAGCAAACTGATATATCTTCCACGTGTTCAAGAAGTAATACAGAAATAATATATTCTTTGATTGTGAAATATCCCAAAAGCATTGGACACATCTGAACTGCTCTTTTAACCTTAATGAGATAATCAGTTACTATGATCATCCAAATTGGGTTTTTGAATATATGAATAATTTCGTGATTCTGTATACACATTTTTTGAATTTACATACAGAAATCAAGGTAGACAATATGATTTTCTAAGTGTATTGACATTGTATCTACAGAATCAATCACCACAGAATGTATTGTACCATCTTCATATACCACTTTATTTACTACTGTACTAATACCACAATATTGTATCACAAGAGATACAACTTCTGTCTCTTGGTGACATATTGCAGTACTGATAAATTCCCACCTTTGTACGGCCAGATATTGGTGTGAACCTGACAGATCCCATGTTCAGAGGTCTCTACAGAGGGAAGCAGAAACATGACGGTGAGCATCTCTGTTATTTAGACTTGTGAATTGTTGAGATGAAGCTCATCTGAGTCCTGTGTTTTCCTGACAGATGACTTCAGCCAGATCATCGACAGAGCTCTACAGGTCGGAGTCGAAAAGGTAATGCTATGTGTTTGTCACTTTGATGTAAATGAATGTATTGTGGCAGTGATGTTTGCCTGTTGGTGCGTGCTGACTGAGGCATTGTTTTTCACAAACTAGTCAGCAGTTTACTGTGAAGATGCTGTTTTTCCCTGAACCGCTCTTGCCCAGTTATGATACTTGCTCTGCTACATGTGCTGCCCACAGTGTTAAGACTGTTGTAAACGCTGGAATTGGAGACGCTCTACTGGACTAACTGTGCAAAACAAAGAAAAAATTGTTATCAGGCAACATATGTGCTGATACCAATATACCCGTGATAGGCCATTTTTGGCCAATACTATCAGCCAATCAATAAACTACTTAGGCCTATGACTAATTGATTATTTGAGCTGCCGCGATTAGGCTTTTTAAATTTCAGTTTGTTCTGACAGGTGTTTTTCTTCCATCATCCTGAGAGGTTAAATCCTTCATAAATTCCTGACAGCCACTGAACAGATTAATTTTTTTTTTTCAGGTCAGACACTCATGTTCCCCTTGCAGTGAACTGTAACAACTTTAGTGATCCTCTTACTTGAAAATTTATTGCCATCATCAGATCAAAGTTTTAATTGTGATCAGTTTTATGACTGAATACCACAATGCAGAAGTAATACCATTCCAT